TGAGTCCCTAAATGTCCCAGAATATTCTATGCAGATGTTTCCAAGCTTGAAAATGCCCTGGAATCAAGGAGTTTATGAGAGGAGATTAAGTTATAGAAGAAAAATTAAAACATAATACACTGTGGGTCAAAATAGAAGTTATATTGTATAGATATGAGTTATATTGGAGCATTACATTAGAAATATTTACTTCTACCTGCAGGACTAATGGCTCACTTTTCATAGGATGTGATAAGCCCACTCAGTCTAAAAGATGAACAGGAGCTTGGCAGTCAGGCATGTGACCAATCTGCAGGGTACAAACTTTTCTGTGCCTCTTGAAGAGTCTAAGACTTCAACTTATATAATTAGATATCTATTGACTACTTCAATAAATAGAGAAAAGCTAAATGCATGAATTAATTATTTTACATAGCTTACCAAAGATTCATAGCAAAAAGAAAAATTCACTCTTCTCTCTCCTATGATTTTTAAGCCCTCATGATGTCATTTTCCCATCCTCACCTTCTTAATGTAGAAAACTCTGAGACTTGGTGTACTATATCCTCTTGTACAAATGTATTTTTTTTCTTATGTAAGTCCTTGTAACTGAAAAGAAATTCTATCCATGAAACGAACAGAGGGCCTTAACATGTAAAAATTCTAGATTAAACACAAAATCTAGATAATTTCCAAGTTACATTCCTTGAAGTTAAGAAATGGTGTTTTAATAATTTCTAATTTAGTAACCTCAGATTTCATACATAGATGTAGACCAACTTTAAGACTGTTAATATCTTATACAGCCTTTCCCAGTAGGGGAATTGCTCTACTCTCCAAAGATGGAGAGGATGGGGAGATGAATAGGGAGGAGTGGTCAGGAGGCTAGTGCTTCTCAGACCATATCCCATAAAGAGAGAAAATTCAGTGTAGCACTATTTCAAACAGAGATGGCTATTTTCTAAGTTACCACTTGATAAACAGATTATTGAGTTTAAAAATGCAACATGTCATGGAGAGACGATGCCCCAACAATGAATATGGGGCTGTTTCCTACTAAGGAACACCAATTGATTTAAGTGAAGCATGAGCTTCAAGGAAAAATAAGAATGGCTGAATTTGTTAGTTGAATGATCCAAATCAGAAACTTACATTATATAAGGCCATATTCTTTATAAAAGAGCAGCACACAGTGATTTCTCCATTATATACAAAGGTAAGCAGTAATTACTTTCCCTGTTTATTTTATTGTAGGGTATTTATTTTAATACTCAAGAATCAAAAGTTATCAAACAAAATACTTTCTTCCAATCAAATTCATTTATGAGATAAATCTTCTGAACTTGAAACATACAGATTGTAATTATAAGTAGTCTTTCATTTTTGTAACAGTAAATGAGATATAAAATGGACATGAAATCACCTTGCTACTGTGAAGTTCTATATTTCTTAGTTTTATTGCTATTATTCAGAATATTAAATTCAAAATAATATGTCCTATTGAATGTTCTATGAAGCCTACTGAGTTTTGGTTAAGAATATGGACTCTGGCATTACACTGCTGAGTTAGAAGTCAGCAAGGTCACAAACTAGCTTCTTGCTATTGGGCAAGTTCCTTAACATCTCTATGCCTCTAGCTTTTTATGCAAAATGTAAATAATCACAGTACTTCATTCAGAATGCAATAAATGAGATAATCCATGTCAAGTCATCAACAAGGTGGTTAGCACATAATACAGGTTCAAAAACGATCAATAATAACAAAAGCATTTCAAATAATCAGACCTCTCTACTCTCCAGAGCTAGGCTAGTTGCTGCTAATAGAAAAACAGAAGAGGAAGAACTGAAATTCCATGTTAGAACTACCAAACGACCGTTAATTGTTAATGGATAGAGGGGACCAAGTTCAGAAAAGAGAAAAATCAAAGTTATCTCTGGGGGTGCTTTTATGTCTTAAATAGGATTTGAGTTAGACTTTTAAACTTAATTTTGCTTATATTTCTATAATAAAGTCTACTTCTCTTATGTGCTCAAAATACAAGAGAACAGCACAGACAAGAGAAAAAATCTGAAAATAAAAGCCCACTAACTTAGAGTGGTTTTTCTCTAGATATTGCTGTTAGTTTGTATCCAGCCGACACAGAATATTGCACTCATTTTAAGCTCAGTATTTGTGCCAAAACATTACACTGTACATTCTCTCTTCTCCTAGATTGAGAAAAGGCTACCCCGGGGCAGGATAAAAGATGAGCAAAGTCCAAGAAGAAAGAAAAAGGATATAAGTTAAAATAAAAATGATAAACACAATAAGTATGATAATGATTATAACAACAATGCCTAATGCAACTACAACTACCTATTTTAAGTCCAGCTGTTAACATAGATGATGCTGCTTACTCCTTAAAACAACTCTCTAAGTTACATATTATTATCACTGTGTATATTTTCAAACAAGGAAAATTAAGCCCTGATAATTTAAATAAGGACATATTACTTTAAGTCACTCAATGTAAATTCTTTGGTCAACGAGACTTAAATCTAGTTAAATCAAGCATGACTGCTGAGATCAGTGGGAAATCATTCATGCAATTACCCATCTGGAAATAATTATAAACCACTCACTCACATTAAGCACTGGACTATCTATTTGAATACAAAACTGAATGAGGACATGAAAACATTTTTTTCCTGGAATATGTTTTATTCTCTTTTCTTGAAAGTAAAAATAATAGAATGATTCTGTGATACCTTAAGATTTGACAAAGTCTCAGAGTAGATAACACTGCCTTACGAAATTGTCTGATGCTCCTGTAACACCTTGCAATTCTTTCTACATAGACTCCGCACATTGTAGGGTAACACCTGACTTACCTGTCTGATTTCACCACTAGCCCATAAACTCTGTAAAGACAGAAACTGAGCTCATATTATTTACCAATATTATCCTTAGTATTTAACACACTTTGTATTTAACATCACTTAGTATTTATCCATAATAAACGTCAAGATGTACTACAAAATATATGTTGATTGACTGCCTGATACATTCATCAAACATATTTGGGTCACTGAAATTTCAATTTTATTTTTGCTTCAGTTCTTTTTCATCAGGTATAACTTCTGAAGAAAAAAATATAGGGAAGGTGATATAAACTCTTGAAAATTTTGAGAAGATATAAAATGCGGAAATAACTACGAAAATGTGAAAAGAGGAGGAAAAAAAAAGAAAGACAGATCAGAAAAATAAAGATGGAGATGGCGAGAGAAGACTTTGGGGGATGCACTCCATCTCAGCGTGTAGATAGTCTCGTATTATTTTAACCTGAATCTTCCCAGCCCCTTGGTCCCTCCTCTTGACATTTCTGAGCGATAAGCAGAGATGAGCCAGGACGGAGCATTTATCGTTAGAGTGTGCTGTGAAAAATTAAAGTCAGAATAGAGGATCCACCGAACTAGGAAAGGAGGAATTTAGGATTAGTGAGAAGTGAGAAACAAAAAGTAGAAATTGTTAAGTTGTTTCAGTCCTTTGTGGTTTGTGAGAGGGGAGGGGAACTGGAGATCTTAAAAAAAGAAAGGGAGGTTGTATTCTATAGGAAGCGAAGATGAATTTGGAGTCTGGGAAATGGAGGAGAAACTTCAAATCTCACGACAATGTGGATTTTGGAGTATGTAACAATCTGAAAAAGGTCACAGTTTAGGATTAATGAAGGCTGGGTGGAAGTCACAAAAAGGTAATGTTTAGGATCTAGTCCAGTGGAGGAGAGACTGAACATATTTGGTCTAAAATGCTTAATTCTTGAAAAAGCTGATTAGGCTAAGTATATACCACATTTAGCACTGTGCTTTCTGATAGCTATTCAGACATAGGTATTTAGAATATGTATTATAAAATATATATTATATTTAGAATATGTATTATAAAATATATACTACGAAGTATATATTGATTGACATGTTCATAACATATAATCTATATTCACAATATATTATATATTTATAATTTATATATTCAGAAACTCATAGTTAGAGGTAGAAAAACAGTATACAAAGGCAGATTTTACATTTTGTCTGGTGTCAGATGTGTGAACCCTCTATCAAATTCTCTTGCACCTTTTTTGTCCCTTTTCCTTCTTTAATTACCCCACACAGGCCCTAAACTTATCAAATTACTCCTAAAGGCCTAGAATTTGGGATATATGTAGAGTTAAGATTATTTGGTGGCCACAATAGGGTTGAGGACATATTACAACAAAATCTTATTTAATTTATTCCATATTCTAAACCTCAAGTGAACATGTGACTTGTTATGACGCATTATTTCCAGTACAAATTTGTATGATATATTAAATGAAATATTTTTCTATGATGGAGGCAAGGTAATATTCCTTTAACTTTCTGACCAGTGTCTAAGTCTCTTTCCCAGACAGCGGTGGCCCAGGCTGTCCTGAACTGGCCTGGCAGTGGAGCATTACCAACCACCTTGCCCTTTGGTTATCAGAGATGCAGTTCACAGGAGAAACATCAAACCATCCATGAAAGAGTCATACAAGCAGATTGTAAATTAGAAGATGCTAGGCAGAAAAAATACAAACGAAAAGCGATAGAGATCAGATTGATCAGCAAGGAGAAACATTTCTCATTAGAGAATGTCACACGTTCCCTATAGCAGTTCTTATCCTGAGAATACTGGACATGTTTTGCTCTTATTTTATTGTTATCTGTTTTGGTGTGTTATTCATTTATCCCTATTGTTAACATAAGAAGGAAGAATAGAGTTTTATATTACATTCTATTTTTACATACCGGAATTTTAGGATATTGGATTTGAAATATATTACCAAATTATTACCAAATATGTTATCAATATTACCAAAAATACAAAACAAAGAAACAAACCAAAAAAACCTGTATATCTGTCCTGTATCAGTGGATTTGAAATCATCTATTTAATATGTCTCATTTTGCAGCTGGGCTCAGCAGATTGAAGTGACTTCTAAACCGTGACATCATTTTGTTCATAGATGGGATCCACAGGACAAAACCTCCCACAGGAGAACCTCACTGCATTGGTGGGATTCATTCTGCTTGGCTTTTCTGATGTTCCTGACCTCCAAGGATTTCTTTTTGGGGTGTTTCTGATCATCTATGTGATTATTCTGATCGCAATAGCCTCATTATCATAATAACCAAGATTGATCCTTCTCTTTACACCCCCATGTATTTTTTCCTTAGGAACTTTTCTTCTTTGGAAATATGTTATGTGTCAGTCACTATCCCCAGATTATTAATAGATCTTTGTAGACAAAATAGAGATATTTCCTTTCTGGCCTGTGCTATTCAAATGTATTTCTTTCTCATCTTGGGAGCCACTGAGTGCTTCATTCTGACTGCAATGGCTTATGACAGGTATGTTGCCATTTGCAACCCGTTGCTCTACCCTCTCATCATGAACAATAGGCTGTGTATCCAGTTGGCAGCTGGCTGTTGGATCAGTGGTATTCCAGTCCATGTAGGGTTCACCTACCAGATCTTCTCATTACACTTCTGTGGATCTAACCAGTTGAATCACTTTTTCTGTGACATACCTCCAGTACTTAAGCTTGCCTGTGGGGACACTTTTATGATTAAGATGCTGATTTATGTGTTTACTGTTCTAGTTGTCACTATTCCTTTTATGTTGATACTGGGATCTTATGTGAATATAATCTCAACCATCCTGAAGCTGCCATCAGCAACTGGGCGAGCGAAGGCCTTCTCCACCTGTTCTTCTCATCTCATGGTTGTGGCTTTATTCTTTGGATCAGGCATCATTACATATTTGAGACCAAAGTCCAGCCGTTTAACAGAAATGGACAAATTCCTTTCTCTTTTTTACACCATCGTAACACCAATGTTTAACCCTATAATATATTGTCTGAGAAACAAAGATGTTATGGTGGCACTGAGAAAATTCCTACCGAAATGGATTGTGCTATGACTCAAAAAATTCATATGTTATTTATCACAGTCTTCATACATTAATTTTGGTTTTTATCCAATTTTGCTAGGAATCTTAATTATTCTGAGTAATCTCATATTTTTATCACACATGAAATAAACTCTGCTGTTATTTTTAAATAATATATTAATCCCAAACTCAATCCAAGGTATTGAAATATCTGAAATAACACATTGGAGTCTTTAAGGTTTTGTTGCTGTTGTTGTTTTTTAAGATTTTAGAATATTGCCTACATTTTCTGTTTCACAGAAAGATGATTCATCTTTATATCTCTAGTCCCAACATATTGTCTGAAAAACAATAGACATTTAGCTAACTTTGTTAGATTGAAAGGCTGACTAATAACAACATTGTAACTATTGATACTTTATCTACTCATGATCAATAATGGCATTATAATCAGGAAAGGTAACACAAAGAAAGGAAGGATTTGAACCCAACAACAGTATGCACAATTGATGTGTTAAAGAAAGTTGACATTCCATCTGTTTTTATTGGTGATTCATCAGCTAGTTCCCTAAAGCTGAACTCACATATGAAAAAGGGGGCCACTCTATCTTCGTTATGGAATTCAGTCTTCCTGTAGAATCCTACCTAATCCCCTTCACTTTTATTGTGCTAATTTGAATACTTGATTATAATCTTTATGTACACATTTTAAATGCACAAAGATGGTACAAGTTGTGAGGGGTGAGGGGAGAAAAATAAAGGTATTTGAGAGGCTGAAACAAGGAGTTTTACATAAAACTACTAAAATGTGAGCTCTGGGCTGTGTGAGAGTCACTTTTCTTACCTCCAACTCCCTTCTTGAGGTAGAAATCAGCAATTTTCCTTCCTTGTTTCTTTAAAGAAACATTATAGGGTCTTAATGACAAAGGAATAGCTGTGTAGGAAGACAGGAAAGGGTAAATTTGAACATTAAAGTAGCAACATTTGATAAAACCCATATTAGTCATCTCTTCTCCTCACATGTATTTCCTCCACATAATCTTGCATTCTGTAAAGCTCCTTGTATCAACCTGTCGAAGCTCTTGGGTGCTGTCACACGGCTTCCCGTGATGTTCCTTTCAAAATACAGAATACCTTTACTCGCCTCTACCTTCTCCAGCACTCCTATTGAAGGAAGTAAATTATATTAAAAATTTAAAAGTTAATACCTTAGAGACAGGCACCTCCACACCCTAAGGATTCCTGGTATAAGGGGGAACGTTTATCGATCCTGACTGACTCTATTCATAGAAGACTCGCCCTAAACTGTTCAGGGAAAATTGAGAACAAGAGAGTGCTCCAGAGGATAAGTTTGGGAGGGTCGGGGTGGAGGGGGTCCAGATGGGGACGCGTGTGTGTAACCTGATAATTGCTTCGCGCCATAGCAATTCGCGCCATAAAATGTAACTGTTTAAATGTTTTAAATTAGCCAATCATGTAAGACCGCGCCAACCTTTTCCCGCTTTATGCTTCCGAATCCTATAAAAGAGCTTGCCCCTTAAGGTTCAGGGTCGACTCCTCTGTCTCCTGCGAGAGATACGTGTCGGCCCGGAGCTCCGCTTAATAAAGCCTCTTGCATTTGCATCAAGCTCGGTCTTCTGTGTCTGTGGGTCCGCGCCTTCCTGAGGCTGGAGTTGGGATTCCCTTTTTGGGATCCTACACTATCACAGTTATCCTCAAAGTTCTTTAGAAGGTAATGCAAGGGTGCATACAACACAATTTCTGTACAATTCTTTCCTGACATAAAACCCAAGCTTAAAGAGGAAAGTGAAAAAATATGAAAAAAAATTTTCAAGGTAATAACAGTGTCCAATTTTAACAAAATATAGCTTTGTCCTTTTATCACGATAAGAGAGAATGCCAAACATATCACAAGTAAATATAAATTAGATATCTTCTTTAATTTTGTGTGAAAGAGCTATCAAAACAAATGTTGGGGGGATTTTTTTATATGATTTTTTTGGCAATGTTACTTCTAGAGCTGCCTCCTCCCCCAATAAGACCAGAACAATCTATCATGTTTGGAATACTGAAACTATGAAAGATTTCTGCAGCAGAAGAAAGGGCGGGTATTGGTGTGCACAATGTTTGTATTCTAAACTGTGTATTCAGTCAACATATGAACATCAGAATTTTATTTCCTTTTATAATGTATAACCTTAGCATTTTGTATTAGACGTTACATATTGGAAATCCAGTTTAAGGAAAATGAAAGAAATAAGAATGTCATAAAAGGACTAAGAAAAGTGGCAAAACCTTTGTGTGGTCCAGAGGATTGTCCTAGTTATGTTGCCACAATGAGGAAGGATTGACTTCCTTGGTGCAGCTTGACTTCTCAGAAGAGGAGAGCAGGTATGGCACAGGTGAGTCCCATATGAAGATGAGCCCTTGAGCTGAAAAATATTACATGGTTTTTAGAGACATGGAATGTTAACTTATTGGCAGTTTGACCTCTGCTGACTCCATAGAACAATGGGGAAGCAGTAACAATTTGCTGCATTTGAATTGAGGAAGGCTTTCCAAATTTTCCTGGCAGAATGTGTCAAGGCAGGTCATGAAGTTGTGGTTATTTACCTTTACTACATCTGTCATGATAGCAACCTTTGAAACAGTCTTCTAGAGTGAAGAAATAGACATTGTCGGGAGACGACGTCCTCTAAAGCTGTCAGTATAGATTTGACTGCAGTGGTGAGAAGAGGTGGCAGCTGTATTATTTTCTAATTTAGAAAGGATTTTACCTGTGTTGACAGAAAATAATGAGTCCTGGGAAACAGAGAATGTGTAATGTTCCTGTCCACATCCCTGTTCTCTAATAAAAATTGGGGAAGTCAGAATCCAAGGATTGCAACATTTATGGTGGTGAGGCATCCTCAGACATTTGTTTCTGCATATAATATTCAACCAGATACATATTGCCTGCACAAGGAGACTATCATTGTTCTGATCAGTGCTTGGTGCCAAAGAGGTATTTTCCAGCAATAGCCAACTCATTTCTCACCTCGGTACAGCATTACTCCTATAGAGTTTTCTTTCAACACAACATGAAGAGCAAATCTTCCCAAATACAACTGGCTGGTACTGGTCACTTACTCAAGCTCCAGAATCCTATCTGTAACTGGGTGCCTCTCTCTGAAGGTGCCTTTAATATGTTGCATATGATTGTTTGTTTTGGGATGTCCTTATCCTTCCTTAAATGTCTAGGTCAACATTTGAAAGTGAAGAGGCCCATTTTCCTCTGTGATTAGGGGGAAAAGTTAAATGATGTTCTGAAAGAATGAACTTATATGAACAACATCATGAATATTACAATAAAATTTCTTTACAAAACAAAGACAAGATGTTCCACAGAGACTAGGAGTTGAAGCAGGAAACCAGAGCCTTTGCTTAGGGGGTGAATTATGGGGAAGTGTGTTTAGAGCCAAGGTGAGCAATTCGGAGTTTGGTTCAGTATCGTAAGTTAAGAACAATGAGGATTTAATAAAGTTCAGTGGCATTAGGAGTAGAGAGGGAAAATGGAATCAAAGTCATTCCAAAAAGTAGAAAAATGATCTGACTTTCAGTTTAATTTGAGGACGAAGATGTCATTCTCAGGTTTTAGCTCTCTATTTTTTAAACCAAAATGGGCAGTGGGGGTGAGGGGGAGGGCTAGGTAGTTTGGAAAGAAGTTAGTGGGTTCACTTTGGAACCTATCTTGAGAACAACTAGATAAGGTCATCCTGCACATTTTTTCTATTTTTTTCCCCACATATGATACATACTCAATTCAGGAGACTGACACAGTCTCTGACTGACACTGTTTTCTTCTGATTGAAAGGTCGTATGTATATGAATGCACACACATCAGTTTCCCTACTTTGTCTTCTGACCTTTGATGTGACTGAAACTGATAGAGGAACAAATATATCTTATATCCCAAAGCAACCACTTCCAGCTAGGAAGCAGCCTATGGGGTGGTTTGGAGTAAACCTTTTTCAGAATTGGGGTGCCCTGGTAATCAACTGACTCTATCACATTCTTCTTGGGTCTTTTAACCATGAATTCAACAGAGAAAAGGCAGTGGAAATAGAAAGTAAGTGCCAAAAATCTAGAATCAGAGAAAGTAGAGGAGTAAAGAGCAGACAAAGGTCAACAAACAGAAGGTGAGCTGTAAGCTACTAAATAGAGCATCACTGAAGCTGAAATCTACTAAATTAGAGAGAAAGAAACACCTACTTCTGAACAGAAAGAAAATAACTCATTCCCAAATCTGCTGTTGTTTATGGGACTTCTGGCTGTGTTTTGAAATGAACAAAAGTCTAGCTCTCTAAGAGGCCTGCTGAAATGGTTTTCTGTGCTGTCTCACTTTGTGTGTCTCCTGACTGTACAAGTCGAAAGAACCTAACCAACTCAGGAAAGGGTCAAGAAGAAAATACACACACATTCAGATGGAGGAAAAAATGTTGGGTATACATCTAGTAGCCTTTCTGATATCTTCTAACGTCTTTGCACCCCTGTTACTTTCCATCCAGGAAATATAGGACTTCACCTCTTTGTGGAAAAGTTTTCCAGCTACAGTGAAGTGGCGGGGGGGGAGGGTCTAAAATATTCTTGTTCCTTTTGTGGCCCAAGAAATACATTTATATGGAGCAGGTGGCAGTATGTTAATTCTTCTTCTCTCTTTTGCCTGCAGTCTTGACCTTGAAATAATGTAGACATTCCAAAGTCTTACTTTGTCTCAGAGATTTTCTTAGACATTTCCTGCAATATCTACTGGCTTCTGTGGTTATCCAGTGATGAATCTTATTGATTAATAAATGATAAAATATTAGGCTTCTTAACTCAGCCCCATCCTTCTCACTTCAGATCTACCTGCGGAGAGGGCTTATCTGGGTTGTTCTCTGCTACGTGATAAGAAACCTGCCTCTGTGAAGAAAGTTTACAACTGTCCAGAACTTCCAGTAGCTAGATGGATAAGTTTGCCTTTTGCAGAGGTGAAAGGCTTTAAACCCACC